TGAAAGTGAAGGGATGGAAAAGATATTCCATGCCAATGATAACCAAAAGAAAGCAGAAGTGCCTCTACTAATACAAGACAAAATAGACCTTCAGTCAAAACCTGTCACAAGTGACAAAAAAGGTCACTATATAATGATAAGGCTGTCAATTCATGAAGAGGAAACAATAATTGTAAATATTTGTGCACTCCACATTGGAGAATCTAAATATATAAAGCAAATATTAATAGAGTTGAAGGGAGAAATGGACAATATAGAAATACTAGGGGACTTCAATACTTTACTTTCAACAATAAATAGATCATCCAGACAGAAAATTAATAAGAAAACAGTGGCCTTGAATAACATGTAAACTGAATGGACCTAACAGACATTTATAGAGCATTCCACACAACAGGAGTGAAATATATTTCCTTCTCAAGAACACATGGAACATTCTCTGGGATAAATCATATGCTGGGCCACAAAATTAAAAAACACACTACTGAACAACCAATAAATTGGAGAAGAAATAAAAAGGGAACTCAAAAAGTATCTTGAGACAAATAAAAATGGAAACACAACATACCAAAACTTATGGTATGCAGCAAAAACATTTTTATGAAGCCATCTAGAGTAGTAAATGCCTATTTTTTTAAAAAAAATCTCAAGTAAACACCCTAACTTTACACCTCTAGAAACTAGAAAAAGAAGAAAAACTGAAACCCAAAGTCAACAGCAGGAAGGAAATAAAGATTAGAGATGAAATAGAGACTATAATGACAATAGAAAAGATCAAAAAGACTAAGAGATGCTTTCTGGGAAAAATAAAGTTGAAAACATAGCTAGGCTAACCAAAGAGAGAGAGAGAGAGAGAGAGAGAGAGAGAGAGAGAGAGAAATGAGTCAAACAAAGTTTTAAATGAGAAAGGAGATATTACAACTGATGCCACAAAAATACAAGGATGCTAAGAGACACCTATGAACAATTATGTACCAAGAAATTTGATAAAAGAAATTAATAAATTTCTAGAGACATGCAATCTACCAAGACTGAATCATGAAGAAATAGAAAAGCTGAACAGACCAACAACATGCAAGGAAATTGAATCAGTAATGTAAAACCTCCCAACAAAGAAAATTCCAGGACCAGATGGCTTTATAGGCAAATTCTACTAAGCATTTAAAAAAGAATTAATGCCAACCTTTCTCAAACTCTTCCAAAAAATTGAAAATAAGGGAATACTTCCAAAGCCATTTTTTGAGGCCACCAGTACCATCATACCGAAGCCAGCTAAGAACACAACAATAAAATAAAATTACGGTCCAATATCCCTGATGAACATAGATGCAAAAATCCTTAACAAAATACTCACAAACAGAATTCAACAACACATTAAAAAGATCATTCATCATGATTAAGTGGGATTTATCTGTGGGATACAAGTATGGTTCAATTTATACAAATCAATAAATGTGACACACCACATTAACAGAAATCATATGAACATCTCAATGAATGCATAAAAAGTGTTCAACAACGCCAGGCATGGTGGCTCATACCTGTAACCCCAGCACTTTGGGAGGCTGAGGCAGGTGGATCATCTGAGGTCAGGAGTTCAAGACCATCCTGGCTGATATAGTGAAACCCTGTCTCTACTAATAATACAAAAATTAGCTGGACATCATTTCGCACACCTGTAATCCCAGCTACTCAGGAGGCTGAGGCGGAGAATCACTTGAACCCAGGAGGCAGAAGTTGTAGTAAGCCATGATTGCTCCATTGCACTCCAGCCTAGGTGACAAGAGTGTTCAAAAAAATTTAACATTCTTTCATGATTTAAAAAAAAAAAAAAACTCTCAAAAATTAGGTTTAGAAAGAATGTATCTAAACTTAATAAAGGCCGTATATGACAAGCCCAAACTAATATCACATTCAAGGGTGAAAAACTGAAAACTTTTCCTCTAAGAACAGGAACAATACAAGGATGCCCACCCCCTTGCCACTTCTGTTTTTTTTCCCCATTTATTTATTTTATTGTATTTTAGGTTTTGGGGTACATGTGAAGAACATGCAAGACTGTTGCATAGATACACACGTGGCAGTGTGGTTGCTGCCTTCCTCCCCATCACCCACATCTGGCATCTGTCCCCTTGCTATCTCTCCCCAGCTCCCCACCCCCCACTGTCCCTCCCCTATTTCCCCCCAACTGACCCCAGTGTGTAGTGCTCCCCTTCCTGTGTCCATGTGTTCTCACTGTTCAACACCCGCCTATGAGTGAGAACATGCGGTGTTTGATCCTCTGCCCCTTTGTCAGCTTGCTGAGAATGATGGTTTCCAGGTTCATCCATGTCCCTACAAAGGACACAAACTCATCGTTTTTGATGGCTGCATAATATTCCATGGTGTATATGTGCCACATTTTCCCTATCCAGTCTATCGTCGATAGGCATTTGGGTTGGTTCCAGGTCTTTGCTATTGTAAACAGTGCTGCAATGAACATTCGTGTGCACGTGTCCTTATAATAGAACGATTTGTAATCCTTTGGATATATACCCAGTAATGGGATTGCTGGGTCAAATGGAATTTCTATTTCTAGGTCCTTGAGGAATCGCCACACTATCTTCCACAATGGTTGAACTAATTTACACTCCCACCAACAGTGCAAAAGTGTTCCTATTTCTCCACATCCTCTCCAGCATCTGTTGTCTCCAGATTTTTTAATGATCGCCATTCTAACTGGCGTGAGATGGTATCTCAATGTAGTTTTGATTTGCATTTCTCTGATGACCAGTGATGATGAGCATTTTTTCATATGTTTGTTGGCCTCATGTATATCTTCTTTTGAACAGTGTCTGTTCATATCCTTTGCCCACTTTTGAATGGGCTTGTTAGTTTTTTTCTTGTAAATCTGTTATTCCACATGGTACTGAAAGTCCTAACCAAAGCAATAAGGCAAGAAAAAGTGATAAAAGGCATCCAAATTGGAATGAAAAAAGTTAAATTGTCTGTTCCAGTTGGCATGATTTCAGATGGCATGATCTTATATGTAGAAAACCTTAAGACTCCACCGCAAAACTGTTAGAATAAATAAATTTAGAAAACTTGTAGAACACAAAATCGAAATACAAAAATCAGTTGTATTTCTATATATCAACAATAAATTGTCTAAAATATAAATTAATAAAGCAATCTGATTTACAATGACATCACAAATAATAAAATACTTAGGAATGAATTTAATCAAAAAAATTGAAAAATCTCTACACAGAAAAGTGTAATACATTGAGGAAATAAATTGAAGAAGACATGAATAAATGGAAAGATAGTTGGTCCATGCTTTGGAAAAATTAATATTGTTAAAATGTTCAAATTACCCAAGCAATCTACAGATTCAATTCAATCCCTGCAAGGATCTCAGTGTCATTTTTCACAGAAAGGGAAAGAAAAATCTTAAAATTTGTATGGAACTACAAAGACCCCAAAGAGCCAAAACAATCTTGAGGGAATAAAAACAAAGCTGGAAGCATCACAGCACCTGATTTCAAAATATACTAAAAAGCTATAGTAATCAAAACAGCATGTTAGTGGCATAAAAAGAGATACAGATGCCAATGGAAAGAATAAAGATATCAGACATAACTTCATGCATTTGTGGTCAATTGATCTTTGACAAAGTTGCCAAGAACATAAAATAGAGAATGAACAGTTTCTTCAGTAAATAGTGCTGTGAAATCCATATGCAAAAGAATAAAATTAGACCCTCATCTCATGCCACATACAAAAATCAACTTAAAATTCATTAAAAACTTAAATGTAAGACCTGAAAATGTAAAACTACTAGAAGAAAACAGGGGGAAAGCTCCAAGATCCTGGTCTGGAGAATGATTTTTTTGGATATGGCCCCAATGGCACAGGAAACAAAAGTAAAATGGATCAAAGAAATTGCATTGAACTTAAAAGCTTCTGCACAGCAAAGGAAACAATCAACAGAGTGAAGAGACAAGCTATGGAATAGGAGAAAATATTTGCAAACCATATATCTGATAATGGGTTAATATCCAAAATACATAAGGGATTCAAATAACTCAATAGCAAGAAAACTAATAGCTTGATTTAAAAATGGCTGAAGGACCTGAATAGACATTTCTCAAAAGGGACATACAAATGGTCAAGAGGTGTATGAAAAGTACTCAACATCACTAATCATCAGGAAAATGCAAATGACAACTACCATGAGATATCATCTCACATCTGTTAGAATGGCTATTATAAAAAAGACAAAAGATAATAGGTGCTAGCGATGATCTGGAGAAAAGGGAACCCTTGTACACTGTTGATGGAATGTAAATTAGTACAGCCATTATTGAAAATAGTTTACAGTTTTCTCAAAAAACTAAGAATAGAACTACCATTTGATCCAACAATCTCATTTCTAGGTATATAACCAAAGGAAGTGAAATCAGTATGTTGAAGAGATATCTACCCTCATTCATTGTAGCACTGTTCACAATAGCCAAGATATGAAATCAACCTAAGTATCCATCAACAGATGAATGGATAGAGAAAACATGGAAAATAGACACATGGTGCAATGCAGCCCTAAAAAGGAAGAAAATCCTGCCATTTGTGACAACATAGATGAACCTGGAGGACCTTGTGCTAAGTGAAATAAGTCAGTAACATAAAAACAAATACTACATGACCCACTTATATGTGGAATCTAAAAAGTTGACCTTATAGAAGCAGAGAGAAACATGGTGATTGCTAGGGACTAGGGGATGAGGAGGATAGGGAGATAGTTGTCAAAGAGACAGGATAAATAAGTTCTGGAGATCTATTTTACAGAATGGTATATAAGGTGCATTATTAGTTAATAATGTATGTACACTTGAAAATTACTGAAAGTAGATCCTGAATGCACTCAGCCCCCCACCAAAAAATAAGTATGTGAAGTGATCAATAAGTTAATTGGCTCAATTTAATCATTTCATAATGCATACTTATATCAAAACATCACATTGTACACTACATAGTCCCATAAAAAATAAAATCAGGTCTCAGGCCATCCTGAGCTTGTCCCCTGCCATTCAAGTCCATGGAGTCCTGAGCCTCCTTGGCAGCCTCTGATTTAGACGTGATCAGATTGAGGGGCCTCAGTGGTGTCTGGAACAAATGAGCTTGTGGCAGGACCAGGCCCTGTGTAACTGCACTGGATGAAGGTGAGTAGAGTGTGGCGGGGCTAAGGGGCTTCCAAGCCTTGCTGCATGCAGGAAAAGCTGGAGCCCAGCAGTCACTGGGGGGCACACTCAGCTGAGGAGTGACCCCCATCTCACATTTCATGGACTCTCAGGAGAGGGAATAGACCAAAGAAGTTTCCCACAGCCACTTTTAGGCCCTCAGCCTGCAGAAAGTAGGATAGAAGAAAACACCAGGATTTTCAGAAAAGAAGTGAAAAGAGGTGAGTTGCAGGAAGACAAGGAGAGTGGAGACAGAGAGGCTGGGTATTGGGTCGTCACCCTCTGTCTGCATGTCAGTTGGGCTAAATTTTTGGCTGCAAGCAGCCAAAAACCCAATTTAACGTGGCTTAGCTAAGAGACTTTATCACCCTCCCCAGTAGGATGACAGGAGAAGCCACAGGTCCCAGAGCCTGCCACCTTTCTCCTTTGTCTTTCTCAGCACATTTCCTTCAAGCTGACATTTCTCATGATCCCAAGATGGCTGCCAAAATTCCAGGCATTACAGAGGCAACCTCAGGTCTCCATGGCTGGAATCAGGGCATCTGCTTCTTCCGAAGCCCACCTATAGGGAAATGAAATTATTATCATTGGCTTAGGCTAGTTAAGACCCACACCTCCCCAAAGCTCCATGGAGGACAGTGGAACCCAGACGGGGCTGGGGCTCTGGCCATACAATGGAAGCAATGGAAAGGGGTGGATATGAGTGAGTAACCAACAAGGTTCCCACTACCCTGGTTAGATCAGCTGTCCCAGTACCTTTGTCTAAGCACCCCAAAGAGTCCTGCCAAGCCTGGGCGTAAGGAAAGACAAGCACAGCAGGGATAGTTGGGAAAGAGTCTCTGTTTAGGAATATAACAGACACTTCTCCATAACTGTCAAGATTCAGACTGAGGGGTGTGCTGGGAAAGAGCTGGCCAGTGTGCTGAGATCACAGCAAGCACCCTGGGGCTCAGAGAAGATGGAGAAGTTCCTGAGTTGGGCCTGGGCTCACCCAACCCCAGCCCATGGCAGATGGATGTCCTGTCAATCAACTTTCTCATGGGTGCAGCTCAGCCATCCCAGAAACCACAGTCATGTCTTGACCCTCCAGCAGAGGTGTGTCCACACTCAGGGATATGGGGGCAAAGGAGGGGCTGAGTTAAGAAGCCTTGACAAGAGGCCTCGAGAGGCCGTTGGCACCTCAGGTGTGGTCCAGGATGCCCACTTCCCTCCTACCTGTGCAAGGTGGCAGTGTGCTGACCCACTGTCACCCACCCTCCTGATTCTGCACAGCTGCCAAACACCTCTTCAGCTACCCCCTTCCCTCCCTTTCCTTCCTTCAGACTTTCTCAAATTATGCTTTCTCAAATATTCATTATGTCTTCATTTATACCTCAATTTTCTTTGATTTTTTGCATTTTTAAAATCCACATTAGTGTATACCTAACGGGACACTTTATATCTCTTCACAAATGGAACCGAGCCTCATTTTCCATAATGCAACTACAAGAAAGCACAATGAAGTCACAATAAAGTTATTAAGCCCTAATTTGATACTGCAGCCTGGCAGGACTCTAAGCCCCAGGCCTACTCTCTGTTTGTTAGAGCAAAGAGATTAGCAAGTATTATAAAGGTGTTAAACATGCTGGCACCAAATCCAGACGTTCCCCTGGAAGTCATTAGGAGACGGGAAGGATAATTTGTAGGGAAGCAACTTATTCCGCCGCGGAGTCTGATCGCGGTGGGCGCTGGGCTCTGGCCCTTCAGTGCACCTGCTGAGCCGCCTCCCGTGGGAGGTGTCAAGGAGGGCACGTGTCCACCAGGCGGGTGAGGGAAGGGAGGAGCTGCGGGGAGGCCCATGCCGAAGGGGAGGTGACCTCTGGAGAGGAGCAGCCTGGAGCCCGCTGGAGGTGCACGGGAGCCGCGCTTGGGACGCCTGTCCTCGGCCTCCTCTCAGTGTAGCGGATCTGACTCCCTTGCGCGGAGTTCGCGAGGCTGAGGCACAGCGGGCGCGCGTGGCCGATACCTGAGACTGGAGGGGCACGGGAGGCACGGACACGCAGGTTCCGGAGGAGGCACAGAGGTGAGCTCCCATTTGGGAGCGACTCCCCGCCCTGGGCAGGGAAGGGGCGCGACTCAGGCCCAGGGCGGAGGCAGGAACTCAGGTGAGGGTCCAGGGAGGGAGGGGACGCCGTGAGCAGGCGCGGAGCAGCCCGCGCCTTCTTTCGGCCTCAGGACTATGCCCCACAGCGCCACAGAGCAGGCAGGCGGGGAGAGCGCCTCCGGCTTGGAGCACCGTCTCCTCGGGCAGGGCGCATGGGAAACCCAGGCACAAAGAAGACTCCGCGTTCTCCATCCTCTGTCCACAGACTTACAGGCACGTGGGGGACTCTCTTCCCAGCGATTTCCGGTGAACCAGGGTACACCTCCCTCTGATGTTTTCACAAACAGTGTGAACACACACACACATATATATGCATATGCAGGCATACACATATGTATACACACTACAGACACATATATGCACATGCACACACTACACAAACAGGCACACATACATGCTAAACACATATATACACATAGTACACACACATGCCACACACCACACATAGGCAAACATACAAATGCTACACACATACATACACTACATATGTATACACACATGTGCACAAGCTACACACATAGGTGCACACATGCTACATATATATGCATACAGCCTACACATGTATACACACATGTACACATACACTGTACACATATATACATACAGGCACACACATGCTAGACACAGACATATACATGCTACATACACATCTATACACACACATACAGTATGCACATACACACGACGCATAGACACACACTATACACACACGTATATGCACACATGCACACACAGGCACACATACATGTGCTACACACACATAGACACACACGTGCTACACACATCTATACACAGATACACTACACACATACACACCACACATAAACACCACACACACTATACACACATACACATTTATGCACACAGACTACACACACATAGGCAGATATACACACACTACACACACGCCCACCTACACATGCTACACACATGCACATATATACACACATGCACATATATACACATGCGCACATAGGCACACATACACCCTCAGTCTTAATGTAAAGTTCTTATTTCTGTGGGTCACAAAGAGGTGGAAAAACATTGCTCCAAGCCATGCTCACTAGAATCACGTGGAATGTTGAAAAGAGCATTGATTTTGGAGTCAAACAGACCTCGATTCTAGACTGGCCCTAACACCTACCAGCTCTAGGATCTAAAAGAGCAGGGGACCTCTCTCTCACCTCATCAGTGATATAGGGTAGAAATCCACCCTTCCTCAACCCTAGTTAATGTAAAGTGACAATGAAATGGCAGATCAGCCAAAGTGATTTCTAAATGGTTAAGTCCTGTGCAAACGCATGATATTAAGATTGTTAATATTAGGCCCCAGCCAAGAACCCGTCTTAAGCCATGGTCCAGAAAATCAAATCTTGTTCTTCAATTGCATCTACTTAGCCAGCTGTTCAGTTCCCATATGTTCGTTTCTCTTCCAAAGCCTTAGCCGCCAATTGGAATACAAGATAAAAAACACCATCTGTGCCCCCAGTCCTTCAGTTCCCTGCCCAGGACGTCTCCAGGCCGGGAGATGATTTCCCAGTTTCTTCTGGCATTGCTGTTTTCCCCTGGCTGGCTGAGCTAGCGCAGGGCTAAGAGCCTGGGCAGCCTGTCTGCCTTGCTGTGGACTATTCTCCACTGCCCACCAGACAGCGGGCAGCCTCTCCACCTTGCTGTGGATGGTGAATCCCAGCCCTGGCCCCGGTGTGGCTGGCTACAGGGCTGCCACACATGGACCCTTTGACACTGGGGCTCTTTTGCAGTGTTCACCATATCAGTCCTGTCCCAGCCTAAGGAGAAATGTGCCTCTCACACTGGAGACTACATTAAGGGAGCAAACCATAGGAGGGAGAGCAGCAATGACCTCTGCTGGAGGTCTTCCCAGGAGCCTCTAGTTACAGGGTGCAAGATGTAATAGATTGATGCGAACATGGTCCCAATTCTGCATCCCTCCCTATGCCCTTGCAGGATGGCTGTGTAGTTCTTCCCATCGAGATGTGGGGTCCATTCTCCTGCCCATTCAGTCTGGCCTGGCCTGTGAATTGCTTTATCAGTAGAAAGGGGTAGGAGTGAAAGTGACACTGTACCAGTTCACCTGCAATGTGAACAAGTTCAGGTGAACCAACTGGTGAACCCAGAAGAGAGCTTGTAGGCTATCTTAGACTAGCCTCCACCCAGCAAACCCTCAAACGGGTGACAGACCCCAGCCTAAATTAACAGAGCTGTCTTGCCGAACTTCACTGGCTCCAGATGCATGAACGAGCCCACCTGAGATGATCAGAATTGCCCAGCCAAACCATAGACTTGTCATAATGTTTGTGGTTTCAAGCCCCACTGGGTTATGAGGTAACTGTTACACAACAACAGTTAAGTGATACATAAGAGCATGGCCCCCTTCCATAGAGGCACCAGGTGGGAAGGTAGGGACTCTGTTAGGTTATTCCAAGGATATCCTCCCACCACAATCAGCCTTTGGACAGAGCCTGAGAACCCGGAGGATGAGGTGAGAATCTAGCCCCATATCCTGAAGCCAGGTGGCAGGAAATGAAGGGGAAAGTGTACATACCATGACAGCAAATAGGTTGACACTAATCACCAGACATTCCTATCCCTGCTCAGAACCCCCTGGCCCCTGTCACCTACCCCAGCTTCTCTCTGTCCTAGGTCCCCTACCACTCACTCCTCCCCAGTCTGCTAAAGAAGTCTCAGCAAGCTTCTTGCTGAATTATGCTGAGCGATTTCTCTCTCCCTCTCCAAGCCAACCAGGTCAAGTCCTGGGTTTGCTTTTACACAGAGGGTCGCCTTGGTGTCCTGCTAGCCTAGTGGTTCCCAAAGGATGGTGCAGTTACCACTGGGGATGCAGACAATGATTGCAGGGTACAGGGTCAAACATTTTAAATGCTAATTCTTTTATTTTGATTGTAACATTATTCCAGTATAGCCATCCCTTGGTATGTGTAGGGATTGGCCCTGAGGAGACCAAAATCTGTGGATGCTCAAGTCCCTAATATGAAACAGCAATCCCATTACTGGGTATATATCCAAAGGATTACAAATTGTTCTACTATAAGGACACGTGTACACGAATGTTCATTGCAGCACTGTTTACAATAGCAAAGACCTGGAACCAACCCAAATGCCCATCGATGATAGACTGGATAGGGAAAATGTGGCACATATACACCATGGAATATTATGCAGCCATCAAAAACGATGAGTTTGGGGCCTTTGTGGGGACATGGATGAACCTGGAAACCATCATTCTCAGCAAACTGACAGAAGAGCAGAAGATCAAACACCGCATGTTCTCACTCATAGGCGGGTGTTGAACAGTGAGAACACATGGACACAGGGAGGCGAGCACTACACACTGGGGTCAGTTGGGGGGAAATAGGGGAGGGACGGTGCGGGGTGGGAAGCTG